TAATAATAAGGACCGCCGCATGTACGGAAGGCTTTAATTAGAACATTTTCCGCAGTATAATTTAAAGGCTATATTTGGGTGTGGTGGTCAACTTGTATTACGCTACACGCTCACAGCTTCGGTAAACTTTGTTTAACGCCACACTCGCCTACCACAGCAAGTATATTTTGTAGCGGACTAGTAAACTTTAAACTAATTAAATTGAAATGTGAATAAAAAAATATCTGTATTATTTTGTTAACTACCTGCGATTCGAATAATATTTAATTTGTTTGATTTACCGTCGAAAATACAAGACGGTTTTATTGATTATATTTATTTTATCTAAGAGTACCTAACTTGTACCTAACAGACGTTTCACTATTATATTGAAGCACTGAAAACACGTTTTATGCGTATATCTGAACGGTGTAAGATTTGAATCGGAGGAATTGATATTGTATAATAATAAAAACTGTGGCCTCCGTTGTATCGCATTAGATCCCGGCCGTTTGTTGTGTATATTTTGTCCATTCTTTTTCTCTGCATTGTATGGCAATAACCGTTTATCCTTCTTTGACTATTTATAAAACGCATAGTTTACGGCCCGTGAACTTCCTGTTTCTTTTCATAGCTTTTTGTTTATACCTTATTATCATCTCGCTTCTTTTTGTACCGACAATTAGGTCCACATAATTTCCTCGGGACCTTGTTTTCCAAAGTTATCGGTCTGTGTTCCGTATATTTTTCTTTGCTAACGGCCTTATTTCAGGTGTGTTTAGATTTTCGTGGCCGGAGAGGTAGACATCAATATTTTTTCCAAGATTCCCAGTAGAGAAGTGAAAACTTACGGCACTTAAACGTCTCGCAAACTTAAAAATAGATTCTTAATCAATTGTTATCCTTCTGGACCGATATTTATTATTATCTCGGTTTGACTTAACAAGTTAAATTTTAACCTTTTTCACAAACGCTTTAGTAGACAATCGCTCTCTCTAGTACGCATAGAAATTTAGATATGATCACGCTAGAAGACACCCGCTTAACCCGATCTCCCGTGTAAACAGGACAAATGTGCTTTTGGCAAAACTTTTATGTTTACAAAAATTAACATTCAACATAGTGATAAAAAACAATTTATTTCGATATTCCTACGCATCGCCGTATAGCATACCTTCGAATATATTTAATACGTATAATATATTTATTTATGTGATTTTGTCGAGGAGGGATATGAAATAGAATTTTTTGAAGTGGTTGAAAATATTTATTATTGGACGTTTGACATTGATTTCTGAAAACAATTCACTGTTAAACGTATTCATAGTAAACTCTGTCGATTTAGAACATCGATCTATTGCAGGCGGATGAAAAAGTCTCTATAAGTCTAACGAATGCTTCGTTCAGTACTTCGATTCAGATAAAATGAGAAACTCATCGCCCATTCCTCCCCAGCATAGATAAAACCCTATTTCCACGGATATGGAGTGTCGGGGCGCGTTAAGCTTAAATTTAACAACGGCGCGTGTCTACGATAGTGGAATATATTTTATTGGCGGAAAATCGTGAACAGTTCACCTTCTTCCGTCGTCCGCCCTCCCGCATTCCCGTCACTTCGCCGTCTATAAAGTATTTATTATTATTATTATTATTGTCGAGAGTTATATTTTTATTGTCGTACAGGTATACGTGTGCAAGTTAGTGTGCGCTTCAAACGATAAACAACACGTTCTGCCGCCGCCGTCGTCGTCGTCGTCGTCGTCGCGCGGAGTAAGTGAATGAGCAAATCGAATTGTTTTATTACGCAATTGCCACCCGAAAGACGCGAGCGGAATATTCGATTTCTTACAGTACGATTCGGTATTCCGCATAACGTCTTTGGTGCCTTCTCGTGCGGCGGCGGCGGCGGTGCTTCGTCGCGTTATGGGTTGGGTTATCCGTCGCGGGGTCGCCCAGCCTGCACCTCTGTGTATATGCTCTCTGCAGCTGCAGCCGATGGCGCTACATCGGTACCGACGCCGCCGTAGACGCGCGGCGGGAGGAGCAGACACTTGATCGTGATAAGATCAAAGGGGATTCGCTATCCAGACTTACGACTGCTACGACGCGGCGCGCGGTATACCCGAGTATAGGTATCCGGTATACTCGAGTCGAAATATATATATACGCGTCTATACATTATGTATACATATACACGCGTTTATAGTTATCATCGCCTATTTCGTGGGGCCTCGAGGGGGCGACCGTATCACATATAAATATATACTCGTGTGTATATACATATATATATATAGATACGTACTCGTAATAATAATATACGCGTTGCGGCATTTATAATATTTGTTTAGCGCTCCGTTTGGCACCGCGACGTGTTCGGTGTATACAATAGTGTACACTCGTGTGTGTGTGCGTGTTGTGTGCGCGCCCGCGGTATTTACCGTACGCGTATATTATTACCCCCGGGGTCGTTGGGGCCGGCGGCGAGCGGGTGCCGCGATCTCCGGCAATACGGCTATTCGCGTATACCGAGTTCTCCGAACCGTGTGCGAGTCGAAATACGAGTAGGTATACGGGAATACGGGGAATACCCGAGTACCGGTCACGGTTCAAGACGGTAAAATGAAATAATTTCGCGGCAACCGGACGGAAACGGACCCTCGGAATATCCGTGACGAAGAACGGGGCGCGGGCGCCGGACTGCGGGACTTGCGCTCGGGCCGGCGGGCGACGCGGTTGAAAAACCCGGTGTTGGGGGGGGGGGGGGGTTTCGGGCGACGGGCGGGACACCGTGTGTCGGCTATTCGTCGAACGAACCGTACGATCGAAAAACGATCAGACCGATTTCGACCGTTTGGCATTATTTTTATTGTTGAAGAAACGCGCCCGTGTCACGCGGAGTGAACCGATTTCGATAACTTATTTTTCTCCTCGCCGCAAAAAACGGAGACTCCGTACTGCATTTGGAAAATTATATCCCTGTAAACGCTTCGCCGTGACGATTTTTTAAACTCAACTATTTTATGGTTTTCGTTGAATGATCAAAAATCGAAGTCCGACGAGCGGAATGCTTAAGACGTTTTGTTCTATTTCCGGTAGAATCGGAAAATCTTCTAAATCAGATCGTTCCGTGATAGGCACGAGAGTTTTTACTGTAAAGCAGCTTTTGAACTGAAAAAAAAAAAACCGCGCGAAGACCCATTTGATATACAAATTAAAATTGATTAAATTAATTGTTATGCATTTTTCAGAATTGTTTAGTGTAAATACTAATTATTCGTTATGAATAATTTGCAAAAAAAAAAAAAAACCACAAGCAGGATCCTTAGATACAATGTTCACTATACCGCGAATAAAACGTACCAATGACCGGAGACTGCTACAAGCCGCTACGGTTTACGACACATTTGACAACGCATTTATTCCGTTATTTATTCTTTTTTATTCCTTTCCTGGAAACTATCAAAATTTCATTTTGCTTTGTTGAACCCTTCAATTGTACATTTTGTTTTTACGTTTATATTCAATATACAAGTCTAAAGAACAAAAAAAAAAAAATAAATAAATAATAATACTCCAGGAAAACGTTTTTTTTTTTTTTTTTTTAAATACGTGTAATACATAATTGCGTCGCGGAGTATAAAAAGATAAATATTCAAATTTCAAAATTTTTATAAAAAAAAAAAAAAAAAAATGTTTAAATGCGATTTCACGTTAATAACGGATACGCTATGCCAGTGTACGTGCCATCGATGTATTTCTACAGTTATTTTACGAAACATTACACGGACGTTTTTAGACATTTTTTTTTTTTTTTCCCCCGTCTTTCTTGAAACGCGATTAACGGCGGACACGTGTTCTCTTGGCGTTCATCGATTGACGCGGCGTCGAGATCGTCTCCGATAAAGTCTCGTAACTCGTCGGCGCCTCCGTGTAAAACAACACGTCAATTGTTCGTTTCGCCGCGTGTTCGTCGCCTGATAATTAAACGCCGAACGGTTGCCGAAACGGGCGTAACGCATGCGTTACGGTGGTCGGGCACGGCGTAACGCTCGCCGTGTTATGACGGAGCGGACGAAAAGCGGCGGACGCGATACGCGGCGACAGACGCGCGACAACGCGAACAGTAAACGGTAACACGTTATAATGTCGCGCGCGTACCGCACCGCGGAATTTGAATTACACGCGGAATTAACGAGTATTCAACATGCGGGGTCGTACGTTCCGCGTGGATACGAGCATTCGGTACGTCCCGGTTGAACGCGGACGAGCGATAACGACAGTGTTGCCGGAACGCGATGTTTACCCGGACGAAAGAGGTGCGTAACGAACGATTTATCCGAGTTGTCCGGACAACGGCGAAATAATAATCTTTGATCGGTGCACGTTTATCGATAAACGAATAAATAAAAAAAAAAAAAAACACGGCACCGCGCCGTAGCGAAACCAACAGATTAAATAAATGTACGTGTACGAGGTTCGGCTATTAAACAACGAGACTGCGCGCGCAGAGAGCGTCCCGAAAAGGTTAGGGGAAAACCGAATACGGCGCCGGTCAGCTGGAAGTGTCTGTTATGCCGGCACGGAATTGGGTTTTTGTTTGGTGCGTTAGTATTTTTTTCCGTAGCGTTTTGAAACGAACATTTTTTTTTTTCTCTTGCCGAAAACGACGTGTGACGAAAAACACGAGCATACGGTTAAACGTAAAATTTTCTCGTAAAACTAAAAAAAAAAAACTCCGACTGAGTGCTATAAGTTGTCGAAAGACGCCGATAGTGAGGATTTCCTATCTCGGGCGCGTGTTTTTGTGTGGCATAAATTATTTTCCGAAGGTCGAGAGCGCACCGGAATCCGATTCAGTCGTAATCCAAATTCAAAACCATGCTGATCGTTTTCTTCGATATCAACGGCATCGTGATGACTGAATGGGTTCCGGAGGGTCAAACTGTGAACCGACATTGCTATTTGACCGTTTTGGCAACATTGCGCGAATGAGCTTCGTAAGAAACGGTCGATATTGTGGAAAAACGAGTCGTGGATCTTGCACCAGGATAAAGCGTGAAGAGTTATTTGGCCGCTNCGTCTTACTCACGCGACTTGGCACCCTGCGACTTTTACTTGTTTCCGAAGATAAAGTCTGCCTTAAAAGGAATCCGGTTCGAGTCGATGGACGAGGTGAAACAAAAATCGGCGGAACTCCTGAATGGTCTTACGAAAACAGACTTTCAGCACTGCCTCGAGCAACGGAACAAACGAACGAAACGGTGTGTGATGAGGGGAGGAGAGTATATTGAAGGGGAACATTCGGTTGTGGAATAATTTTTTAAACAAGACCATTTTTCATAAGCAGTCTCGTTCTTTAATGGCCAGACCTCGTATACAGAGAACGCGCGGGCGCGCGGCGCATAGATTAGACCGGCGGTTTTCAACCGGTGTGCCGCGATAAGATAAATCTATCAACGGGGTAAATTTTGTATTTGCCAGTACTGTTATCAATGTTTCGACGAAAACCGATTGCTAACAAAATATACAAAGACAGGCTAACCGTTAATCGTAGATACGTGTAATACTACAATGGCATTCGATGTTAGTTTGCCCGTCGCAGCCGTCGCAGATCGTTTTACGTCCGCGTCGCGGAACATTGTGTTTATAACGAATTTCGTCCTACACGGTATATTTTAAATAATACTTAATATATTTTTTTTTTTTTTTTTTTTTATAATGGATGCATTTATAATTCGTTCGACTGACAGCACTTCAGCGAGTGAAAAACCAAAGAAGAAAATCAAATTAAATATAAGACGTCGGTATCATGAAGATTATTTAAACGTAGGATTTTCTCGGTCCGGAAATGTAGACGATCCTCGTCCGTGGCGTCTTGTATGCGGCGATAAACTATCGAACGAATCAACGGTTCCGAGTAAACTAAACCGCCATTTTTCCACCAAGCGTTCTCATTTGGTTGATAAAAATGCTTCGTATTTTTAACGTTTAATAAAATCAGAAACACGACAATCCGAAAAAATGACGAAAATAGTGACCATATTTGATAAAACTCAAGAAGCTAGTTATCTAGTAGCAGAGCTTGTAGCTAAACAAATGAAACCGCATACTATTGCAGAAAAACTTATTTCACCTGCTTGCCGTGAAATCGTAAAAGTTCTTTTTAGTGAAGAAGCTGTTTTTCAGAAGTATTAAAAAATCCCAATATCTGACAACACTATTAGTAGACGTATAGAACACATGTCTGAAGATATTGAAGAACAAGTATTGCAACAATCTCGTGGCTCTCCATTATTTGCATTACAACTAGACGAGTCAACTGACATAAGTGGACAAGCACAACTTTTGGTATTTATACGCATAGTTTCCAACGAAGACATCGTGGAAAACTTTTTATGTTGTAAAACACTTCCTGAGACAACCAAAGGTGAAGACATTTTCGAAATCGTGGACCATTATCTGAAATTTGCCAATTTTCCATGGGATAAATGCATTCGACTATGTACCGACGGAGCTCCCGCGATGACTGGCTCAGTCAAAGGCTTTATTTCTTTTGCTAAGAAAAAAAAATGAAAATATTATTCTTACCCATTGTTTTCTACACAGAGAAGCCCCTGTGACAAAAAAATGGTAGATGATTTAAAGGAAGTTTTGGATCAAGTAGTAAAAGTGATAAATTACATTAAAAGTAGTCCACTAAAGTCAAGGTTGTTTGAAAAAATTTGTGAAGGTATGGATTCAGATAACTCAAAATTACTTTTTCACGGTGCAATAAGATGGTTATCAAGAGGCCGGGTATTATCACGTTTTTATGGTTTGAGTGAAGAAATAATTGTATTTTTAACAATAGAAGAATCGGAATACGAGTTTCTTGGAGATGAAAAGCGGTGGACAAAAGTTTCTTTTTTAACTGATATTTTTGAACTTTTGAATAAATTAAATACAAGCATGCAAGGTCGTAACGAAAATATTCTAACATCATCTGACAAAATGATGGCTTTTAATAAAAAATTAACTCTGTGGAAAAGTCGACCAAAAAAAAATTGACTATGTTCCCACGAACTGCAGAGCGAAATGTAGACGCCGGTCTCATATTGTTAATAAGAGAATCTATCGTGTTATTAAATGACAAAATGACAAAATACTTTCCCGGCATAAATGCTGAAGACTATGACTGGGTGCGGAATCCATTCGGTGTATCAGTTAACGAGGTGATTGGTTTGACATTTGCCGAAGAAGACAATCTTATCTCACTGAAAAATGATCGAACATTGAAGTTAAAATTTAAAGAAATGACACTTAACACATTTTGGATATATGCTCAAGCAGAATTTCCTGAAATATCTATAAAAGCAATAACAATTTTACTACCATTCTCCACGTCATATCTATGCGAACAAGGATTCTCAGCAGTCACAACAAATAAATAAAAAGTAAAAAAAGAGAACGACTTAGATCCGTAGAAGAAAAACTGAGAGTTAGCCTGTCGACTGTTCGTTCTAGAATTAAACGTTTGTGCTCCACGCGTCAAACACAACAATCTCATTAATCGGTAAATTTATATTTCATTTACAACATTATTATCTTTTAAAAATAAATATTTCTGCCAACACATTTTTTCATCGTTGTATTAATTCATTTCATAATAATTAACCCTCTAATACAGTAGATTGTAAACAGTGTACCTAAATATGTGTATAAAAAAATATATGCTTCATGTATTATATGAATTGGTGTGCCCCGCGAACATTTTGTAGGAGAATAAGTGTGCTACGTTGTTAAAAAGGTTGAAAACCGCTGGATTAGACGGTCGAGCCACGGCACGACCGACGCAGTATATTTTTAATCAGATTTAACTACGGAGGTTTTTTCAAAATATGGGAATGTTTAACAAAAATATGTAATAGAAGCGAACTACGTTAAAATATCTAAGAAAGTATGGATATGTAAGAATATGTATTATCAACCGCAGCTTAAAGCATTCAGATGGGGTCCTAAAACATATTTCTACAGAAGAACCGTTCGATTACCGTCGCTCATCACAAATATGCATGTGCGTATAAATCCGCACCCTATATTTATCTGTACATAGTCGGCTTCCCTGCAAAACCTCGTAAGTTGACGTGTCGAAATAAACGTATTATTTTTAATTTTTTTTGTAAATGTCGATACAATTTGTAAGTCTGTCGCAGTATTTCGCTTATCCTATAAAATCTCTTAAAATTGACGTACGGGGTTTTGCTGAACAGCCGAACATATTATAATGATATATTGTAAATAACATATATTACCTATCACTTATTTCTAAATATCTGCATACATTGTTTAGGATTAAAAAAAAAAAAAAAAAATAATAATAAATCGATATAAATGATTTAATACAACGATTCGTCTCGCGCAGTATATTGTTTCCCGGTCCGTGTATCTGGATATTGTGATAAATTATAAAAAATACACATATTTCTAGATAATGTACGACCGTGATAACACTGCGAACACGATAGTACCGAAAAACCGACGCACAACATCAGTCACTACAATGACCGCGAAAACGAATAAAACGAATGGGACGCGCGCGGAAAAATACGATATAAATAAAAGCTCGGCCGTTAAAATATCCGATAATGGCGGAAACGCTTGTGTCGCCGCCAGACACTATTTTATATGAGTAATATATTATAATATTATTATTATTAAACGCGGACTATGAATTATTGCTTTGATTTCACTACGACTACTATATTATCCAGTATCGTGTTTACCGCGGTATAAATATTATGGTTTATGATACCGGAGTCGTAGTGTTATATACGTATCAAAAATATAATTCACGCGACGTGTTGATAAAAAAAATTTTTAAAACGATTTTATTCGCGTGATGTGCCTTTACCGGAATATAACGAGAACCACCTCCGAAAAAACCAAATAAAAACTCGAAATTGTCAAATATTTCTATAAGTAGTTTGGATTTTTCTGGACGTTTTAAGAGTACCCACGTCTAAAAAACCGACAATTAAGGTATTCCGTGAAAATCGCAGGCCTCTAGAAAAATCTTCTAAAATAATAATTTTTCATTTGAGAACAGTTTTTTTATTTTTTTTTTACAACAACGAAATTTTAAACTCTACACTTCCGCACTGCACGCTTTGAACTGTAAACCACACGGTTGTAGGCTCTGTTGAACGCGTATAAACTGTGGGATGGATCGAAAGAAATGATAATTAACGAGAAATAAATATCCGCGTTCTAATACAAATTTACGTATTCAAGTAAATTATCCGTGATTGATGATGACGAACGTTGTTAAGACGTTAATATTAATAAATCCTCAACAATGAAACTGCACTATTTCACGGTGTTTTGAAAGTTTATTTGCCGAACACCTCCGTGCCCTCCCCCCACTTCATAAATTGGATCCGGAACGTTTTCGCCTTTTGTTTCGGAAGTCCCGTTGAAATCGTCATAATCGGTCCTTTAATAAACTGAACACACCGGTGTTGGGTAACCTGACCCAACCGAATAAAAAAAAAAAAAAAATATAAATTATTTTCGAATTTCAGACGTGTACCTTGGTTTGTTTCCGTCGTGTACATAAAACCGGACCGTTCGGCGTCTGGTCGTCGTCGGCAGGTCCGTAACGGCCGTAATAATATTATTATTAAAATATCTCTGGGTGCAGTGCGCACATCCCGCGGTTTATTATTAATTTTAACGATTTAATTTCCGCGCGATTATTATTTTATTCGCCGCGGCGACCCTTCTCAACTTGTACGACACAATGTAAGCCGTCCCTCTGCTGCAGTAGCCCCGGCGGCGGACGTATACATTAATCAATTATTAACGCACTTTACCACTGATTTTATCTTAGTCGGCAATATTCCGCGTAGTGCCCCGCCCTCATCTCTATACAATACGTTTTGCCGTATATCAAGTTTTTACATCAGCACTAAACGTTTTATTAAGCGTATAGATGTGTAGTAGCTGTAAAAAAAAAAAAAATAAATAAATAAAAAATTGAACGAGACAGAAAAAAAAAAAAAAAAACGAGTCGCTAGAGTCGAATTTCCCGTCACCTCATTTGTATAATAGACATACTGTTTCTAAAACAATAAATAACCGAATGCCATACGATATAATACAACATACCTATCATACTGTACTACAATTTATTATACTACTTCTGAAAAAAAGAAAAATAGTGAAATTTGAACATAAAATTTATCAGAGTGAGGTTATAGAATTTAAATACCTATAAAGCGAATCTTTAGTACTTATTATACGCATATAAACATTTCATCCCCCTGGCTTCGTTTGAAGGGTCAGTAGGGGGTGTAAAATATGAGCCGTAACGACATGGTTAAATTCACACTGCCTACCTAATGAAATTCAGCTCAATTTTTATCGTTTTAATTTGGCTGCAAAACAACTTTAATTCCCGTGTTTGATCTCATATGGCTCAAATGGAGCCGCTAGAAATGTTTAAAAATAGCGGGAACAAGATATGCACTTACAACACTCTTATTACAACAACGCATTGAAATAGCCTCTATTTTTAGCGGAAAGTCAATAAAAAATAGGGTTCAGGTAATGAGGTTCGATTTTTCGGAGTATCATCAAACGGTGGCTCGCCAGACGAGGTGATTGAAGCGCTGGCCGGCTCGTCATAATTTTCTTATTAAAGTTAGCACTTGTATACTTAGTTTATTACTAGAAATGTAGTATTTGAAACGCTTAGAATAAATTTCTCTTAAAATACAGTATGGTATTGATATCGGTTTCAGAAAAAAATTTTTAAATTTTTCAAAATAACTAATATTACTGATCTCCTTTAAGGTTTTATTGAAGCCTAACGCAAATAATAATGATAGCGTTGCCACTTTTTTCGCCACTAAAAATATTTGGCCCACCACTTACGCCCATGATTTGCCACTGAGATCATTGATTTTCGTTTAAGTATTGTAATTTATTATGTTATGAATTTACACGGCTGGCTGGTGCAGTATACAATAATTATTGTTTCAACTTCACAAAACTAAAAACACCATCTCGAGTAATGTAAAAAGAAAATAAATGTTATCACAGAGCGCTGGTAGACGTTTCAAAACTGTTTTAATATAATTTGTACTTTTCAACTACTTTATATTATTATACCTACGTTTTTACCTCGCTAGTCAATTTGCCTTGTATTATTATCATTGGGTTACGTGGCAATTTTGTCTAATATACTTTTTATCCGGACGTACGTGGCATCTTCTTCTGTTAATACTGCAAAATCATTGCCCGAGTGTAACACTATATACTACCATGGTGTAGGTACAGGATGGGTACTTGCACATTTTCAGAACGATTTCCCCTTGGACTCGTTTTAGATGAATAATAAAAATTAAAGGGATTAACCAGAAGCCAAAAGACACCTGCTCCATTTGTATTTATTACGCGAACGTAAGAATATTTTGTTCTTATATTATTTTCAGTCGTATAATAATAGGTATGGGGTTTTCTTTCCGGAAAAATTTAAAAATGAAATATTTATTTATTTTTTCGTAATAAATACACGCTACGCGTAAAATAGTACTAACAATGCTCTGTGAAATTACTACGTCTTTTTCTCGTATTCTTTTTATAGCAGAATTTTATTCCGACAAACTTTCTTTTACAGAAAAATTATTTTCTTAAGCAATATTTTAAAAAACTGTTGGTAAAATAAATATTTGTAAATAATAATATAAAGTTCTGTTTTGGTACTGAACACCGTCATCTATTGAAATTAAATTGAAAACACTAGTATATTATGTATACCTGCGAAAGCAGATGACGCATACATATCACGTTATTGAATTACTTTTATTTAAACACACATTAACAGTTAATGCACTTTTTGCACGTAAGGAAATTATAACTTTACAGATACAACAACGGTATCATAAATTGAGGTTATAAATTTAATGCAATAAAAATCTTAAAAAATGCATTTTAAATACTCACTAAAAATGCTCGAAAATGTCACAAATAACGACCACAATATTAGTTATACCTCGTCGAATCGTGATAAAGCAATACCTAAAGACTCATACATAGGTACGGTTATTATGCGTACGCACAAATTCTGATTTTATCATTATCTCCTTGAAGTTATACCTAGGTAAAATTTGTTTTTAGAAAATACGCTAACTTAAAAATCGGAGTTAGATCTCTGGTAGAAAAGTTGTTCACAGATAAAACCAATAAATACGTTCCTCGTTTCGCTCAGAATCCAAAAAATACGTTTTACATTTAGCTAAAATATATTAACGGCTTTACTTGTGAGTTATAATCATAATGAGAAAAAATAAGTCTGACACACTTTGCACCGTGGATTGGTCACTTTTGCTGGTTGGTAGTTGGAAAATTAGGATGTATACTGTGTAACGTAATTTGTTTTATTCATTTAATCATATAACGATAAATCATTAAAAATTAAGATCCTGGAACAAAATAGTATCGGTTGTGTTTGTCTCTTGTTGCCAATGTAACCCGGAAATCAACGGAAAAAAAAAAAACCAAAAAGAAAAAAAAAGTGCGAATCTTTGAACCGTTGAAAATGTCGATAAATACTAACAATAATAATGCCGGAAATTATCTTTCTTTTAAGGGGGCTCCATGAAAAAATCGGGACATTTTTACTTAACGAAAAAGTGTTTTCCGGGAAGAAAACATCTTTATAAAACTCACAACTTATTTTCATTCGTTGTGGATAGAATTCAAAATAATGCTATATATTATTGTTTTATACTAATAAAACAGAATGCTAATTTAAGTTAGGTACTTATAATTTATAATGAAAAATGTGCAAAATCGATTCTCTTTAACTGCGCACTGACAAATTTTTAACGTACATCTACGCAATAAGTTTTGTAAACAATATTTTAAGAAGAACGAAATATATTATTATTTTCGCTAGGAAAAATGTTTGTATAAAAAAAAAAAAAACTCTTTAAGCATTAAATATTAATATAGTTAATATACTTATTATGTTTGTGTGCTACGAAAAAAATCAAAGTCAATATTTGCAATATGCGAGGTTATTGAAAATTGGTATACAAAATTTACTATTCAGTGTTCATGTAATATTGTTATTTAAGCGAACAAATATTTTTTTTTAATCGAATACATAATCATAATAATAATACACCTTAAATGAAATTTTATTATCGTAAATGCAAAACGTCAAAATAATATTAAACAACGCATAAATACTAAAAATATTTAATGTTTTTCAGTATATTTTTTTGTTGGCAAAAACTATAACGTTTAAGAATTAAGTTGATTTATAATTACATGCATACATATAAAGGAATCGATTCTAGAGTAAATAAGATATTCACCTTAAAGGCTCATAGTTACTATTGATAAGTGTGCCACTGTTTTAGAAAGGAAATCGGAAAGAAGAGGATGTAGACAAATTTAAATTACATTAACAACAAACCATTGTTTATGAAGAACGATTCTGAGTCGTATTTTTTTTCGTTGTTGTTAAGGTGACCCAGAAACTACAATAATTATGTAAACATGTGCTAATTTTTCTTATTTATTAAGAAAACTACCTGGAAAATCAATAAAAGCCATATTAGTGCACTAGATAAAAGATATCTACAAGAAATTTCTTATAAAGTTTTTAACTGGAGCAAGGTTTCTGGTAGAAGAGCATTTAATCGACAAACAATCAACCACATCATAGTAAAACCAATACATTCCTGCTTGCTTCGCTTAAAAACCATCGTTTTAAAAATTGAAGCGTGTCAAAGATTTTTTGACGTCTACTATAAATTCGGTCAGTTATAATTTTATAAAAACCAGTTTTATGGTTCTCGATAGAAAATGTTTCAATTGACTAAATATAATAATATAATAGGACGACTGCCTTTCCACAACCTACAAAACTGACATACCTACCCTAATAAATCGTCTACAAACACTATATATTATATTGTATACTTGAGACAAGCGGACAGGCCATATATTAACGAGTAATAAACGCGAATTTGTAGTTATAATATAGTACCAACTATAAAATCAGTATAGGCTAATAATGTAATATTGACATACTATTATAATTACGACCGTTTAATTAAAGCAATTGTGGCAATTTAGATAAAATAATCTATACAAATAAAAACACCCGCGGGTGGCATAATAACTCCATTACTAGAGACGAATTCATTCCCGCCTATTTTATAATATAGAAATATTCTATAACAATATTATACTACTATGGTTTACGCGTATATTACGTATACTCGAAAAAAAAAAAAAAAAATAGAAATCAAAATGCAAAATTTAAGCTTGAAAATGAATTGAACGGACGATAAAAGTTAGAAACCCCAAAAGGGTACGTCCTCTACATTAACTCAATTTAAATACAAAGTTGTATCTCCCGGTTAGAGATGGTAATAATTAAAAAACACCCCTATCATGCGAGAAACTGATGAATATCATATTGAAATTTAATCTACATTTATCACGTCAATCGACCTATAAAACAATAAACCAATAATCTAGCCCCGCGATTACTCTCCTGTCCTTCGAGTACTTCATTTGATTAACCTCGCTGATCGCAGATATAATGCAAATATTCTCTTCTTCTCTAAACTCCTATCCAACAACAAAATTGATTCCCCTTCTTTGCTTGCCACAATCTATTTCCGTATTACTTCTATTAAACCCGTCAGATTTCATATTATAAAAAGTGCTATAATTGTAAATCGGAGCAAAATTGCTGGTGGAAAAGTTGTTCACAGAAAAAGAAGACTGTAATATTTACTAATATATTTTCCCGTTTTTTCTCAGATTTGTTCGGTTTTTCACAGTTGTTGCAAAAACACCTGAGACAAATAAAAAGAAGATCTCTTTAAAGTATCTCTCCAGTCAGATTTCTGGTAGAAAATACAGAAAGGTAGAAATTTAGGCTTTACCTAAATATGTTATTTTTAAAGTACCGTTACATAAAGATAATAATACGTTTAGTCTAAAATTTTTAACGACTTTCTTTGATATTTTCAGTTCGGTCAATTTTTATCTTCAAAACTGTGTGCACTGTTATATTTATATTCGTCCTCGGCATGTTAATAAACTCTAGATTTCAGTCATGAACCTATACATGAGTGGTATAAAGGTATGGGTTTTCTTTTTCGAGTATTTTCTTTTACCTTTTTCCCCCGCAAGCATTGATTAATCGTAATCATGTATTATTATCTCGTGGGTGAAATGCAACGACGTATAGAGGCCGCGGGATGTACGACCGGCTCTGAGGATTGAATAAGGAAGAAATTTACCGGGTCTCTCGTCCATAGACGCGAAGCCACAAAAGCACACAGTACCCTCCCGCCGCCACCGCAGAAACCGTCTTTGGATTTATTGCCATCATTTATCAAACAGTCACCTCTCGTCGGCCACCATAATTTCTTATTCGTTAAAACCTTCTCTATACCCTCTCTAAAGCACCCTACCCGCAACCACTTAGTAGGGTTCACGCACACACACTCGCACACTTGCACACACACACACACACACACGCACACACACACACACACGCGCACACACACAATCCACCAGATTCGCCCCATTCCCACGAGGTAGGGAATAGATGGGTAGGTAGTGCCTACGTGTTCGACGTATCGTATCGGACAATCCGAACGGATTTACAAAACTTCATTATCGCACGACCAAACAATAATGTGTGCACTTTCCACAATAAGGTGTTTCTGTACCCGCTAAAATAGTCGTTATTCTGGTCGAGTATGTATGTGTTATAGGGGCGCGCGTGTGTACAAAATATTTTATCAAACACCGCGCACGCAAGCAAGAAAACGATTTCCGTCGCGGATGAAAATTTCTACGCCATAGATCTGCAGATATAATATAATACCGCGTAATACAATAGTATTTAAATTAAACGTTTAAAATAGATAACTGGTTTATTAGTATAATTATACTGGCTGCGCTTTACAATTTTAACTGTATGCGAGTATATGTTTAGAGAAATGCATTTTAAGGGACGGAAACAAACGTGATATTATAACGCATATAGATTTACTAAGATATTTCAGAAATACAAGTAATCAATAAATTATGCAATAAATGTACGCGAAAAGGGTATTGTTTTCCCTTTATATATTTTATCCAGATATCAGACGTGCGTCGGTCGAAAAAATAAAAAATTCCTTGTATAGATGTTATACGTATTTTCTGTTGTCCGTCGACATTTTTTTTTTTGGCAAGGTCAACTGGTAACGGTTTATTTTTCGTACACATATTACATGTATAGAAAACGAACGACTTATGGTATAGTTGATATTCATAGAATAATAAAACAACAAAAGAATAACATCATATTCTCAGTTACTCTTTTGGGTTACTTAAAGTTATGAGATGTATCCAATATTTATTGTTTGTCGATGGGTTGGAGGGAGGAGGAATTGAGGAGGTGGAAAATATACTGTACAATTATTATGTAAAAACCTTATTTAAATAAGTCTTTACGTCATTATTTATGTAAAGATTAATTTCACCATTAACCCTGCAGCTGTACAGCTGTGCATCACGACGTTGACGGTTATACTCGTTATATTAGGACTTCGTGATTCGAATCGTAATGTTATGTAAAAATCAGTCGGCGGAGAAAATTACGCTTACAGAATAGGCTGAGTTCTATCTGTTTAGATTGTATGGTCCTCTAATGTTTCGTAGATTCCCTAAACACTATCACATTATAAGCGGGGCTTAGGACTAAAAGCATTTGTTAATTTTTTTTTTTTGACTAGACATTAATCTAGCACAGTGTTATTGGAAATAACATACAGCATATTACAACGACTTCAAACTCGCAATTTGAATGTGATTTATTTGGCTCGTTTCGATAATTTTTTAATACAAATACTTTTTACTAGTTTTTTTGTTTTTTTGTTTTTTTTTTTTCGTATTTTCTTCTTTGTGTTTACGTAAGCCAATAACGAAAGCTCAGATATTCCACCTATAATTTTTAAACACTTTTTCTTCATACTCCATTTCTAACACGTGTTCGTATGGTAAAGTTATCTTGTTTACTTGTCGCATCGGTTGTCGTTGGTCATAGAGCGTTACATATTCACGAGTGTAGTTTTAAGTTTCAAGAATTACAACATGACATTTGAAGGTTTTTTTCCTATTGTTTATTTCGATAGTTTTTTCAAAAAATGTTTTTATTCTATTGTTTATTTGTTTTTTACGTATTAAATATTTTTCAAGTGCTTACGTCGGCCCTTAAAAGGCTTATAGTGATATTTTTTAAACGTTGTTTCGTTGATTTTAAGTCCTAAACTCTAATCAGCAATATTTCCACTAAAATTAAGTTACAAACCTAAACTGTAGTTCTGTAATTTAGTTTAAGAAAATAATAATATTTACGATACTTATTATCTAGTTACAATATATTACACGTTAAAAAGGGTATTTTTTAAGCACAAATTATGGGATCAAAAATAATTTTAAAAAAATAACGAAAGAATTTGTTTCTTTTTTTAAATTAGATTCTGTCATTTGTTTTTTATTTTTTTTTTAGTGAGTAGATCAATGAGCTTTATTTTCTATAATAACTACCTACTGCATATTTTAAATTATTATTTGTATACAATTATAATACCTATGCGTGTACTCCGTAATACCGTTATTATTATCGTTTTATACTTACTTTTGAAAAATATAAAATTTATAACTGCGAAAAAATATGCAGTCACATTAATGATATTGTTCGTGTCACACGTTCCAAAAGTTGAATATTTTTTTATCATTTTTTTCTCTCCCCTCCTCTTTCTCTGTCACTCACTTTCTCTCCTGAAAACAACAAGAGTATCAATTTATTCGTAAACCATTAGTATATATTTTTTTTTTATTCCAACTTTTTCTCGCTGTAGTTTAGTACAATAATATTATATTATACCCATAAAAATGTGTGTTGTAATATTTAAAAAAAAAATCATTTCACTTCATTTTTTGTGTAATTCGAAATTCAAAACCAAATTATAAACTGCAAAAAAAAAAACCTAATACAAATATAATTAAAATAAATCTTAAATATTTTATCATTTATATAGTTAATTAATACCCGTACATACTTGGCACCGTGAGTAGGCTACCTTAAGTGAATAGGTAGGAAATATAAGTAACTAAGTATACGATACAAGATAATTCAGCGTATGTTATAGGTGAAACCAAATTGTAGCAAACCTCAAAAATACCAAGACGAAACGTCATATTTCGGCTTTTGGCCGGAAACACATAGTAGTTAACAATCTAATTTAAACCAAACCGTAGCGTCGATAACTTTCAATACTTAAGGATAGATAATTTCCGTAATATTAGATTCTAAGTGTAGGTAAAAAGTTTTACCCAGATGTTTTCTTTTCGTTTTTTTTTTTTTATCTGTGAACAAATTTTCTCCTAGGAGATGTACTCAGATTTTAAAGCGTATCACTTTTTCTGAAAGGATTTCGGTGTAGGGAAGTATTTTCAAGAGGTCATTTTTCGATTAACTCAAGAGTTTTCTTATAAAATTTGGAAAAACTAAAAAAAAAACGGAAAAGAAACAGGAAATTTTAAGAAATATATTATTAAAATATTACGATAATTTGCCTTGTATAGAATTTTTCAACCAGCAATTTCGCTCCAAATTATGATATTAATGTTTCTAAAAGGAAATTTTACTGAGGAGTTAGGAGGTACTTTAAAGGGGTCATTTTTTGATTTAAACGTTATCTTGGAAAGTATTTATTTTTTAAAATTTTATTTTGTTTCGAATATTTAAAAAAACAAATTGTTTTTATAACCCTAATTTTCGGGGGGTGAAAGGACTTCCTAATTTTCATTTTCAATATTAAAAATCCATAGATAGATGGAGTATTAGTTAAAATAACTTATAGTACTGACATTTTTAATTTCCGCTTATCTATTGACGAGATATTCCACTTTTAAGGTTCTATCGGGGGAGAGCAGTGGAGCATTATTTGTGTGGCGGCTCGGCGAGCGGTATTCTAATTTTGCAGTACTTTTTTTCCCCCGATCCCGACTTAAATAAGTTACATCCAAATAACTTATGGTGTCATTAGGTGCAAATATCAAGTAAAATTTAGGTATTACAGATTGTATCGAAGATATTTTTTTTTTTTTTTTATAATAAATATTAGTTTTAATATTACATATAATATTGATTTTTTCCGTTCGTAAATATCATACATCATGCGTTATACGATAGTACTAACACGACGCTAACGATAATTACATTCAAAATTAAATATAGATAATACAAACGCTGCGGGCTTTTGAACAGTATGTTAGAACTACTACTATACTAGGTTTATCGGCCGTTAAATAATGTTCCTTATTCCGAGTCACCGTTGAGACCGTAGTTTTGAGCCACGGTCATCGAATTCTGAAACAAGTAAAATAAAATAAAATAAGCACATAAAATTCGATAAAACTTTTTCGGCTCCGTAAAAACGGGGTTCAAAATTTGTTTTATTTTTGTTTGTTCGTGGGTCACCTCGCTGATCCGGCTGAAATAGTAAAAAAAAAAAAAATCGGCCCGAGCAACGACAGACGGGACATCTAGCGGGGGCGGGAAAGTTTTTGGTATTTTTTGGATACATTAACTAAATTTTGTATTTGTTGATTTATCTCGGTGGCACGGATTATAATTTTGCGGACAAGAGAACTATTATTGTTATTATTATTATTTTAATAATCGGTACGGTCGATTACGATATTTTTGTCTAGCGACAGTAAATCGTTGCCGGGTCATCTGGATTTACCGCGTATTCGCGGCCAATCGTTTGGCCGATCGAAAACTGATTCGGCCCGCAAACCCGTTGAGCCCGTTTAACGCTTTCTGAGAACCGATTTAAGATAAACGTACTCGGATATCGCGTGGTCTAAACAAGACCGCGTTGTCGGACCGAGTCGGAAACGTCAATGTGGCGTAGCCGTCCGTTACGCGTTACGGCTGGTTTCGGTGCGTGAAATACCGTTTGATGAGTTCGACCATCAGGCCCCGGTACTCGGCCGAGCCGTTCACGGCTGCGTCGTCCGCGTCGTCCATTTCGGCGTAGCCGCCGTTAAACCTGACCGACATCGATTTAAACGTCCGGGACACCGTCGCGGTGGTGGGCAACAGGTTAAACGGCGGCGGCAGGTTGTCCAGCAGCATATAGTTCACGTACACCTTGGTCCGACCGAGCAGCCATTCGTACTCGGCGTTGTCGGACACCCGTTGGAACGTGATGGACATGGCGGCGATGAAAATATTGAGCATGACAACCACCATTAGCACTTCGAACACGCCGAACAGCCCGTAACCCACGAGCTGGGTGAAGTAATGCTGTTGCGTCTCCAGCAAAGCGCCGTCGCCGCCGACGTTCCCGACGATCACGTTCGGCGAATCCAACGACGCCATGCAGAATATACCCCAGAACAGGGTGTTGAACGTGTCCGGTATCGAGACGAACGAGTTTTCTTGCACGGTCAACGCACCGGACTCCGGGTCCATTTTCTTCATGCCCGCGTAATACGCGTACAACGTGCCCAGTCCGAAAGTGAACGCGACCATTATGATAATCAGAAACGACGCGAACTTTACGAAATCGGTCAGCACTTTGCCCAGCGAAACCTGCATCGGCCCGATATAGTAGTTGAGCTGGCACAGGAACAGCAGTCGCAAGTACGCCATTATGGTAGCGATCGTGAACAGACCTTCGGCTATCAGCTGCGGGTCGGCCCAGTGCCAGTACTTGCGGTCCAGTTCCGTGTCCACCTCTTTGGTCTGTAACTCCGCGGCCGTCCAGAACAGAAACGCCAACGAGAACAGCGCCAGCTTGACCGTGTCGAACCAGTTCCACATGTTCTTGTAGTATCGTTTGAAACCGTGCAACCTCTGAAGCTTAATCTTTTCGACCACGTGACCCAACACGAACACGGCTATCGGCAACCTGGTCGGCGATTCTGGAAAACCCCTACGCATTTGTAATTTATCCATGTGCGAATGGTAAAAGAGCAGCACCAAGAACACCGAGTACGCAACCAGGCTGTTGAACATCCGGTTGATCGGCAGACGATTTCTCCGGTTCAGACTAGAGTCGGGTGCCAATAAGCCCATCAACACGATCGCCGGTGACATTAAAAACCGCAGGAGCACGTGTAAAAGCCTCCAGGTCGTTGAGTATGACTTCCACTCGATCCAATCGCCGATCCACTCGGTCTCCAACACCTGTTGGACTTTGGACTGTGCCACGAACTCCTTTTGGCCGTGGTCCATGGCCGTGATGAGTCTCGGGTACGGAAACCGTCCTTTCAGTTTGCATCCGTCCCAGTTACGCAACAATACCTTAACCTCGTCCGACGTCCGGCAGTTTACCAACAACTCCACCGCGAATTGTCTTACCTAAAGTAAGAAGAAACACGAAATCGTATAAATTGAACATTTTTTTTTATCGGTTCAAACCATCAATATTGTGAACTGTCACCGGGATGTTTTTCAAATAAATAAATAAATAAAAAAAAAAAAAAACAGTAACATAACAAGAAAACCGTTTGGATCAAAAAAAGCGTGTTGGTTTTTTTTTTTAATTAAAGCGGTTACAAACAAAATTTTTAGACACTCAATAAGTCGGAGAACTTTTTCATAATTAGTTTTTTTAAAATATGTCAGAAACGAGCGGCACCTGCGAAATTCAATAAGAAAAAACAAGCTTCCGTTTCGTTAAAAATCCGTCGAGTCGGGCCGACGAGAAATGTATTCGGAAGAGCGGAAAGTGTAAAACAATATAACTTAACATTGTTTCTATCGCTTCGGTTTTCGGTTTAACAAATTTCGCTTACACGCGTTTCGATTTACCGCGTACGTAAACCCAATTACCTGTTGAGCCATTCCCGCGTACACGGACGCGTACACCTGTTCGGCGGCGCCGCACTCCAGCAGCTCGTCGTGCAACTCGAAGCAGACGAGTATCGGGTCGTCGGCGGACGTGCAGCACACGTATGTCGGGTTGCTGATGGCCTGGTACGTGTTCAACCGCTTACAGCCGTCGGCCACCGCGTCGAGGCCGCGCCGCAGCCGGGCCGCGTCCGAGCACCGGTCCTCGCACGCGCATCGCGTCGGGTGCGGCCTGTCGATCCTGTGGCCGTGGCTCAACAGGTACTCGACAATCTCGTACTGGCCGCACTGCGCGGCCAACATGAGGGCAGTCATGAACGGCCTGAACTCGTCCGAGTCGTCTTCGTTGTCATTCGCCGCGTCGGCGTTTAGCGCGCCCTTGCCACCGTGCACGTCCACGTACCCCAGCAATCGGTTCAACAGGTTTAGGTTGTCGTGTGCAATCGCGTACAGCACCGAGTCGCCGATCCGGACGCCTGCGTGGGTCGCGTACAAATTATCGACGGAACATTAGACAAACAGCGGCGCGCCCGACGATTTCCAGCGGGCCGACGCGTACCGGATAATAGAGATTTTTGAATAAATCGTAAGACCCGATCCCGGAAAAAAAAAAAAAAAACCCGATTTCTAATCAATGCGTCGAGCTTTCATTCGCGGATTCGCTCAACTCCCCCGCCGTGCAACCGCACGAATATACTCAACAAAAACGCGCGCATGAGAAACACAAATTACTAACGCAGCACACGTATAGGGTCTGGATTTAAATGCCGCGAACATTTTTTGATAAAACGAAAACACTATACACGTATTACAGACAGTGTTATAGATCGCCCAGGCCATTTCAGTTTATTTTCGCTCATTTTCTCTACTATCGAAGCTGTCTCTTGTGCACTCTAACGACATATCCAATCGTCTCTCGTCGTTGTTCCACTCATCCGCCTAAGCATACACTCCATTACTCTCTGCTACACTCTATTCGCTATTCTATTTTTCTACCGGCTATCGGCACAATCGCATGTGTCGCCTCTTGCGGCAAGTGAAGTTTCCGTGGATGTTTTCTATTCCCCCCCCTCCATAGAGTAGAACATTTATACAATCCAAACGAGATATAATGCGAAGACCGAAAATGTCAAAATGCACGAGGTCGGTGAGGAACCACCGCCTTTATATTGGTCTATACTCGTGAAATATTTCGTTTTGCCTATTTCAGTTTTACGGGTGGTGTTTTACTGGTAAACCTATTCGCGTATACAAGGGAGAGGAGGGTTGTTAGAGATAAACCCTTAACCTGAACTATCATGAAAATGTTTATGAAGTGTGTTTACGCGACGAAACATAATTGGTTTAACATTAAAAACCTTAACTCCCCCCCTCTCAAAAAAAAAAAAATAAATTTGGTTTTGTAGGTATGCGCCGGACAATAGGTACTCTGTATATCCGTACGTCGCGTCGGATGTTTGACCTTTTTGACTATTAACGAAACTATAGAAACGGGGAAACGTGTTTTTACTCGCCTTTTTGACGGAGGAACAGATCGACCAGTGGTTCGCAGTCGTTCTGAATGGCCAAATGCAACGGCGTGATAGCCTGGTAATTTTTCATGTTTAAGTTTACCAGGTAGGTCGCCATGTATTTTTCAACGCCTGACACGTCACAATTTTCGACCAATGTGAAAAAATTTTCTTCGTCCAACGACAACTCGTCCGTGAACGAGTACCATTTCCCCGCCATAGCTATCTTAGATTTGTTCTAGAAAAAAAACCTCGTAACGAAATACGGTATGAAAAATTATATGTGTACATAAAAAAAAAAAAAAAGTCGTATTTGTCCGACGATAATATAAAAATTATATTCGTATATCTAGTAATATTTATTTCAACCGCCTTCAATAGAAATTTAACGCGAAATACACTTACTCTTCTCGACATCGCGGAATACCGAAATTGCCGTACAGATAACGATTAATGTTATGACCAGAGTTAACGATCTGATAAAACTTTTTTTTATCCGTCGTGGATTATCGAAACGTTTGTACCCACTTCAATAACGGCCGATGTTGTAACAATGGTAACTGATTTGACGTAACATTTATATTTCGGATGAATAATTTACGCCGTACATTAAATGTTCCATTACCAGTGTAATGATCACCGCCGTGTGCCTTATAAGCCTGCAAAATAGCGGTGTTGATTTTAAAGTTATAGAGTTAATATGGACGAACTGTAGTATACTGAAAACATTTTTTTTTTTTTTTTTGTTTTGTTTTTATCGATCCGTGTTGTTTTTTTCTTTTTCAAATAAATGTATAGTGAAAAAAGTGATCCTGACGCGCGACCCTGCAGCCTAGGAATATTTGAAAATAGTTACACGAATATTCCGTACCGCGATCAATACACCCATGCGCACCAGATACGGAAAAAAAAAAAAAACCACAATTTTATTACATCGTAAAATCCCAGATTGTAGCGGACGAAATAGTACAACTATTTCGTTTCGTCCATTTTCTCGCAGTCATCTCCGAAATAATGCGGAGTTTTACAAATTATTATTGTATTCATATTTTTTGGCTGTATTATTGTACCACGAATTCAGCCCCGCGTGTACGGAATCGAGTAAATCGACCAAATAAATATAGATATAAAAAGCTGTCCTATGGTAATGGAAACGGGTGCAACCACTGTTATGGGTAATTTAATGTATATCTGTAAGCAAAACGATTCTGAGTGGAGTTCAGTTGATAATGTTGCTTTATCAACAATATAAATGCCATACTACGGTGAAATAATTGCATACGCATAATATATTTTCTTTAATAACGTCTTTTCTGTTTATTATCATAAAAACAGCCGAGAAAATCAAATAATGACAACCATAAAGTATCACCCCAATCGGGTTTCCGTTCGGAAAAAGTGCTATCATTGTGAATCGGAGCAGTGTCGTCTGTTGAAAAGTTTTGTACGGAAAAACAAATAAATAAACAGCTTTGTAAAACCGTAAGCTACTTCGCTCCACAATTCAAAATAAAGGAATCCTCGACGCCTTAAATCCATCAGTTTTCCTTTCTCGTTGTTTTTTTTTTTTTTTTACTTTTCCCTATTATTATGAAAATCAAAAAAAAAAAAAAAAAACAACTCTCTTATAGTGCCAATTAGAATAACCAGGTGAGAAATTCCTTAAGAAAATCGTGTTACACTCGGTACACTAGAGCGATTTTTCGGCTGGAAATATTGGTCACGGAATAGAAAAAAAAAAAATGAAACGCCATTGTAAAACCAATACGGTCCTCGCTTCGCTCGGAATTTCAAAAACCGACGTCGAACGCGCGGGTTCTTCGGCATAGTACGTTTTCGTTTTGGCGCGTTTTCGCGGTACCGCGACATCGCAGCGGCCGTGCTCGGCGCACGAGACCGTCGGCCGGAAAACGATTCGAATCCGCGGGCCGAACACGCGCGGGGAACGGTCGGCCGACGTAATCGCTGCAATCCAAAATCCGCGTTTCGCGCGACGAACGTACGACCCGCCGCCGGCCGCACCCGCGCCGTGTTCCGTCCGGTCTTCCGGCCGGCGATTATTATGTCGCGTGCGCCGAGAGTGAGGTACGCGTACGCGCCGGCGTATAGTGTCGTCATCGTCGCCGTCGCCGTTATTATTATTATTATTGTTATTATTGCCGGGGGGCGCAATGATCGTTAATCATCGCCGCGGCCCGGTTCCCGGTATAATTCACGGCGCGAAGATTTGAATTCTGCGCGCTTTTGATGCCGCGGGAGATGACACGTTACGGTCTCGCAACGTATCCGTTGTGCGCGCCGCGCGAAACAATAGCGGCGCTCGTGCGCGCGTTCCCCCCCCCCCCCCCNCCCCCCCCCGGCGAGAACAATGTCGGCGGGACCGCGCGCGTTTATCCCGTCGCGTCGCACGAGTGTCATTGTTATTGTTGCCGCGGTGCGTACCGCGTGCGCGTTCATTAACCGCCCTCGCGCGGCGCCGGCCGATCGGCGGGCACCGGGATACGAACCGACGACCGGGGGGTGGGGGTTGAAATTTTTTTTTTTTTTTCTTCGCGTATCGCTCGGTTTCGCCCGTCCGGAATCAAACGCCGTACCGCGCCGAACGGCCGGACCAGGACTGTTGACTCACCGGGCGGACGAGAGACCGCGTCCCCGGACATCGCGTCGGCGCGCGAACCGCGAGCGTTTTGTTACCGACGGACCCGCGAGACGCGCGGGTTCGTCCGCGGACGCGCGCGATAATACGGAAACGTCGATAAACGCGCGTGTCCGAATAGCGCAACGCGAACTAAACGATTATCCCGCCGGTACGCCGTTCGCACGGTTCGCCCGCAACGGTGACCTGCCCGCGGGCGGCGTAAACCGTTCGTCCGAATCGGTCCGACCGGCCGATGTTTCGAAAAACGTAAAACAGACGGAACAAAAAATGCGCGTTCGCCGCCGAAGTCTCTGCATAACGGCCGTTCGCGTAACGATATCGCCGTGTCGTGTTCTTGAAAACCCCGGGGCGCGTGCTGTTTCTGAAACCGCGCGTCACGCGACGACAACGCGGCCGGCGAATGTCCCGAAACTGTCGTCCGGGAAACGAAACAATCGAAAAACGTATTTTTCGTCACGCGGAAATCGTTTTTAGAACGGCTGCCCCCCTCCCCTCCCGTCTCTCCACCGCTCGGTATATTATGCGTGCGGAGTTTTCCGGCGGAATGTTTAAAATATCGACGGTTATTATTTACATAAACAGCATATTATAAACGAAATGCCGTGTGTTTAGTGTAAAATAATTCGCTAAATAATTCAGCGTACCTATCGCGGTGTTTTTCACTTTGATGTCGGACGAAAATCAAAGCTCGTGTATGCCAGTGAGTAATATTACTTTTGGGAATCAAAACGCGTAATATTCATTTTAATCCGAAAGACCGACGAAACCGTAACGATGATGGTTTCACAACGTTCTCCGGGAGTATTCACGTTATACTGTACCTACGTTCTCTTAATATCCAGCGATATAGTTTCTTTTAATATAAACACAAACCGTGACGCGTCCTTATACGGGAAATAATTCTTAATGTTTCCGAGACGGTGGGTAGCGACAAATAACATTCAAATTTTCATCACAAAAGTTTGTCACAGACTTATAATTATTTTTATTTTTTTTTTAAATGTTTTACCCTTATGGAAAATATTCCACTCATGTTTTCGAAAATTGTAACGTTATCGATCGGATTATTTTTAAAACTACAAATCAATCGCAAAAATTCGTTCTGCATCTTGGCACGCACAAGCATTTTAGTTTTTTTAGACGCCATTGTGTGTTAATATCAAACTCCTCGGGTGAATATATTGGATACGCGCATTTTCCATAAATAAAAAAAAAATAGATAGAGCGAGTGAAAGTATCCAACACGGTGGGTAGCGAACCATTGTGTGAGAGAAAGAGAGTGAGAAACGGACTCGTCTTTTGCACCAACCAATTTTTAGATTATGTAAAAATTTAAAATTGTGAAATAGAAAATCGGTCTCTAATCGTAACAATTGTAAATACTTATAACTCGTTTAATCAGGTATTTGTTTCGGAGCGAAACCAGGGATATATTGATTTCAATGCAATTTGTAGTTAATTTTTTTGTATTTTAGGTTCGGGGCTTAACGGGGGATTTATCGGTTTTACTATGTGTGTTATTTTTATTTTTAATTTCTGTTTGTGAACAATTTTTCTACCAGAAATCTTGTTTCGATTTGTTTCGAAATTTCAATTTGTTGTTACATAAAAGAGGTAATTTTTTTTAGTTTTTCAAGTAGTTTTTAAAATAATTGAGAAAACTCGGAAATAAAATTATAGGTAAAACGATAAATATTTACGTCACGTCGCGGTGCTACCGATTTCATTGGTTTTGATTATTTCCAATGATGTTATCTTAAACGTATCATATTTTCATTTATTGATGTTCGAACATTTCGATCGATCATTCATATAAATAATATATGCCGTTGTGTATTAAATAAACTATACATTCACAAGGTTGGTAACAATCATAATATTCTCAGTTTCGTTTGTCGTTAATGTTAAAGTCAAACCGAAAATTTGCTCCGCTATATTATATTTGTATTGCAAATGTTCTATTAAATGTTATTAGATATCAAAACAAGTACAAATTTTTTATAACTGTACGATTTCTCACGTGTATAAGAGGGTGGTAAATAAAGGTAGTAAATATAAAATTTAATATAAAAACAATGAATAATAATAATACCGAAAAAGAGAAACTATTAAGTAACACAATTGTGCAAGTACTAACAAAAAAAAAAAAACGATCGGTTTCAATGGTTTACGTATAATATTTTTATAATATAGTAAATCGCATTATCGAATCAATTGCGCTGTATTAATTGTAATATTCAAAGTTGTATCCTTTAATATTTCGGAATATTTTTGATTGTTAGACATGAATCATTTATGTATTATATTGAATGTTAATTTATGCGTTTCGATTTCATTAAATTCGTTTTAAATAGATATTGTTAAATTGAATTTGTGTTTCAATACAATTTTATATAGATAATTTATAATATCCGATAACATTTTTTCTATGCCTATAGGATTTTAGCTCAAATGAAAAAAAGGAATTTTCATACCGAATCTTCCATGCTATCAGTACAATATTATATTCAATGCGAAATATACACCTACATGCATATGTTTATTACCGTAGGGTTTTTTTTTTTTTTCGTACCTACGCGAACCGACATGGACATAAAATATACACAGAGTATCCCAAGAAACGTTTTGGATTTCAGCCTGTAGGTACATTTATTGTATTAAATTATGTATGAAGACACCCTTTTTATGATAGCGCGTTCGAAATATTTTTTCCACCGTATATACCTACAAGCTGCCTTTGGAATACATTTTTTTTTCG